ATAGAAGGGTGGGGGGGTTAAGAGAAGAACTGTTTATTTTTGTTTATTAAATATTGAATAAATCCATGAGAGCTATAAATAAAACAAACTAACCACAAAACTACGTGATATAAAACTAAAACAAATGATAATTAATAATGTTTGAAAAGATTGAATGGGATATTTAATGGACAAATTTTCGAATTTTAGAATGCATATTGCAAGTATTAAATTCGTTATTTCCTTTACTTTTATATTAATCTTCAACCAAAAAACTAAGTCAAATCCTGACAATACATTATGCAAATTCTACGCTAAAAACTACGTTTCTCACTTATCGACTCTTTTGAAACCACAAAGTTTCAAGGAACGTTTCTTTTTCCCCCTGAATATCATTTCCGTCATTAAAAAGGAACATAAAATAAAGAAAAAATGGAGAAAAACGACTCAGGCCACCGATTATCTTTGTGAAGAAGATAAAACTACAAAAAATAGTGCATTTTATTAATTTTATTTGCCTTATATTAGTGACATTGAACTAGAAATTTTAACTTTGGTTAGTCCTTCAATCAGCTAATAAAACGCATAACAAGTCATCTTAGTTGAACCTTTGCCAAATATTTTGATATTTGAAAAATTTATGCTTGAAAATAATTAAATACATATTCCGAGTTAGGAATAGGATAGTTACAACGACTTTCAGTCCGCTTTTAATGGTTAAAAGGACTGTAGAGGTAATTTATTATTACCCTCCATTACATTAATAGTGACATTTTCAACTAATAACGTACCCTTTAAACCTTTGTCGGATCAAGGTTTACGTAATTGATCTTTTTTTCGCAGAAATCCGCGAGTGAGCAGTATAAATAGTGTATACAGTGTACAGTATAATGGAGTGTATACAGTGTACAGTATAATGGAGTGTATACAGTGTACAGTATAATGGAGTGTATACAGTGTACAGTATAATGAAGTGTACACAGTGCAAAGTATAATGGAGTGTATACAGTGTACAGTATAATGTACAATATACTCAATTTTCTGATTCAAGAATGAAGATATCAAAGTCCTGGCGGGTCTTTTGGAATTACGTGTACAGTCTCTTTAAGATTGTAAATTCTAAATTCTACCTTGAAGCTCCTGGGTTTAAAACAAACTCTGCTGTGGAGGATATCCCCGCCATTTTGTTTTCAAGAACCGGTCTTGGCGCTAGACATTCTTTAAAAAACATTCATAATTATTTACTTAAAAAATCAGATTCTCTCTCCCTTGACTTCCCAAATTCCACATTTTCTAAAGAAGTTCTTAACATTAAAAAAATTATGCATTTTGTAGAGAAAATAAATCCATGTTGAAGAAAAAAAAACTATAATAGAATCAAAATTCAAAACTGGCTATAATCATCAAACACAAAAAAACGATTGAAAAATGTTGTTATTTTAGAATAAACAGTACCTTGTCTAATCAGCTGGATGGATTTAAGGAAAACAACAATTATCGTCACATTGTCTGTAGAACCTTTCTTGATAGCATGAGCTCCCAGCAGATTACTAAATACAGCGATCAACAAAATAATGTGGAGCAGAGATTTAAACAAAAAATTTAATTATGTCTTGACACAAAAGAAAAAAAATTGACCCAATACCAAACATAAGAAAACATTACAAAAGCTAAAAAACAGAGAAAACAATTATATTTAAAAAATGAAAATATTATTAAGTCAGGCTCTAAAACAAAAATTTTAAAATACCTTAATTCTGTTACGTTATTATGATTTTCTTCATTTTGAATGAATTCATACACAAACTAAACATTTTTCAGTTTTTAAAGTTTTTAAATTTAGAAACAAAATCAATTAATCAAAAAATTAATCAAAAAATCAACTTATCAATTCAATAAATAAATAAATCTATCAATCAATCAATCAATCAATCTACAATTTAAAAAAATTATGATGCACCAATTGATCAGCCAATCAATTAACCAAAACCTATTAATCGATCAAAGGATTATTGTTTTTGTAACCCAATCAATAAATCAAACGACATCAATTCTGTCAATAAAACTATTTTTCGTCAGATAAGGTAAGAGCTTAAAAAATTTGAAAACTAAAAATGTTCCTGAACAGCTTCTTCTGGAGTTACAGTGTCCCAAAGTCCATCACAACCTGAAATATCATCAATGTAAATTCCTAACCCAACAACTCATACAACCAAAAACCAAACCGATCGAACCCAACCAAGCCCAGTCTATATTTATAAAATCTATATCGTCATTCTACAAAAATTTAAGATTATCCGTGATGCAAAAAGTAATACATGTTTTAGTACAGTCGGAATAGGTGAACATGGAATAATTCGTCTAACTGCAGATCCACTAAATCTGATGCCCTCGTGATCTAGACTGGAATTGAGAGCCAATTTTTTTGTCTAAGAGTAGTGAACTTATGGAATAGTTTGCCGGGAGAAGTAAAAACACTAGATCTCCTAAAATGTTTTAAAACATTTACAAACGATATGCTGGAGACATTGTTGAGCAAAAATAGTGATATAAATAGTTACTCATTGAATCTATAGACTCCATGCAGATATCTCAATATGCCCCTAAATGAGGTCTAGAGATTAATTCACTAAATAATCAAAAATAACCCAACCCAATCAAACCCAAACCAATCTTACCGACTTTCGGTTTTTGTATTCTTTATTTACGAAACTCTGATTAAAAAAATTGGGTTCGTCTAAATCTCGAACACTCCGATTAATCGAAAAATTTAATAGGGGGACTTCAAAAAGAAAATTATTAACTTTTTTACCTTCTAAAATACATCAAAATCAAAAACAGAATAATTCTTGCAGAAATTAATTTTTTAAAGAATTAATTCAGAATATAAATAAATAAATATAAATAAAAAATTTCAAATGTTCTTTTTGAGCGTGAGAAAATTACAAAGATGAGCTATAATTAGAGAGTATACTGAGTACTGACCAACTATAAGAAAATCATCTTGTTCTCCGAGTTCCACAGTTGTGACGTCAGAGACCGAACTTACATAAGGTTTCAAAGAGGCGTCTCCAAGCGCTCTAAAAACAACTTTTATCTTTGAACATTCTTTATTTAAAAGAAAGACATTTGTCATAAAATGCAATCAAGTGAACCAGAAAATTATGTAAAGGACAACTAGAGAAAACCATTCGCAGATTAAAAAAATACGGGAGAAAAAAACTGGATAATGAAATTTCAGAGGTCGGAATTTTTGTGCCAAGTATTATTAATCTTGAACACTTAATCTCTATTTCCAAAGTGGCCACTCTTAAACTACAGGCTGAATGCCTTCAATTAAAGTTAGCTGCAAGGTGTATATGGAGGTATGGCTTAATAGGATACCAAAGAGGGATTAAATTAACCTGAGATCGAATTTAAAGAATTTGAGCCGCGGCTTAGATATGGTTGGTTCCACTTAAAATTGTATTCAATGTTTGAGCCGGCGCTCAATTAAAACCGGTTTTTGGCGGATTTGAGATGCGGCTCAAGTTCATTAAATTCGACCTCTGTCTGCATGAGATGAAGATCAATACTTAATCCCGTGATTAAAAATTTCCACCTTCTGGTTGATTTTGTTTGCAGCTTTGTTTGAATTATTTTTTACTTCGCCAAATATTTATCAAAAGCAGAGAAATTTCGAGGTATTAATGGACATTCTATATCTCAATTTCGAGGTATTAATGGACATTCTATATCTCAATTTCGAGGTATTAATGGACATTCTATATCTCAATTTCGAGGTATTAAGGGACATTCTATATCTCAATTTCGAGGTGTTAATCGACATTCTATATCTCAATTTCGAGGTATTAATGGACATTCTATATCTCAATTTCGAGGTGTTAATGGACATTCTATATCTCAATTTCGAGGTGTTAATGGACATTCTATATCTCAATTTCAAGGTGTTAATGGACATTCTATATCTCAATTTCGAGGTGTTAATGGACATTCTATATCTCAATTTCGAGGTGTTAAGGGACATTCTATATCTCAATTTCGAGGTGTTAATGGACATTCTATATCTCAATTTCGAGGTGTTAATGGACATTCTATATCTCAATTTCGAGGTATTAATGGACATTCTATATCTCAATTTCGAGGTGTTAATGGACATTCTATATCTCAATTTCGAGGTGTTAATGGACATTCTATATCTCAATTTGAAGTTTGATGAAATGTTTAAGAAGTAAATGTGATTAACCTTGAAACTGCTAGAGTTCCATTTACTCTCCATGTCCCCCAAAAGGACACATAACCTCCCATAGCTTCAATTCTGAAATATTTGGTTTGATTAAAGTCATGATTAGAATCTGGTTCTTAAAGATCGATTATTTAAAAGGAATGATTTTTGATGATATTAGGGAAATGATGAAAAAATTGACATCAAAAGGCAAGTTTTTTTTCATCCTTTTTGATACTTTTTACCCAAACATTTGATTAATTTCCACCTAAAAACATAACTTTTGGCGGAAATTTATTTACAAAAAAAAGGGGGTAGGGGATCATTCTAAAAGTAAATAAACACCCCTGTATTTTAATATATAATTTATATACCAATAGTGGAAAATATCCCCAAATTAGCAAACACCTAACAACTCATCAGAACAATATAAAGATAAGCATAATAGAAAAGTAACAAAGAATGATCACGAATCCTGAAATTTATACGTTTTTACAAATTTACCTGAGTTTTTCATCTTCTCGTTTAGGTGAATGAGGATCTACTAGAAGAATATGCTCACCGTTTCTAGCCTGAAAACAATCAGTCAATCAAACATCTTACTTGTCACTCTATGAAAAATATGATAAATAAACAAATAAACTTATTAATCAATTTTAAATTATTTAAAATTATTTAAAATTATTTAAAATTATTTAAAATTATTTTAAACTATTTCAAATCAATTTTCATCAAGTGCCATCCATTTCCATAGCCATTTCCATCAAATTACAACCACTTCATTTTCCATATCAACTTCCTTCAATGTCCATTAATTTCCATCAATTTCCCCCAATTTCCCCCAATTTCCATCAATTTCCATCAATTTCCATCAATTTCCATCAATTTCCATCAATTTCCATCAATTTCCACCATTTTCCATCATCTTCTATCATTTTTCATCAGTTTCAAATTAGATCAAATCAATCAAAAAGATTTTAACTCAACAACAAGTATGGAAAATCTAATGGTTTTATGTACAATATTACATCTAAATGTGTAAATATATATTATACTAGGCTATTAGGGCGATTCGCGGCAACCTTCTTTTTCAACCATTAATAGTTGCTCAATCTTTCAGCATTTTCTCTTCGATAAAACAAAATAAATTTTTTTTCGGATTTACAAATTTTTCTCATGGATTTACAAAATTTGACGAAAATCAATTTTTTTTTAACTTTTTGTAATTCTGAGCCTCCATTACCCTTCCCTGGGGTCATGTGAGGTCCCACACAAAATTTGGGCCGAATCGGTTCAGCCGTTATGACGTTTATTGGATACTAAAGGAAAAACAGATAGACAAGCAATGTAAACATATATAGATACACATTACACAATACACATGTATTGTACTGTGCACAGTCATGTACCAAATATACGTACCATGACAGTTATAGAATCTCCCAACCAAGCCGAGTACAGTACATTATCCTGAAAAAATAAAACTGATGAATTATAAGATTAATTTTCAATTTTATTTGTATCGTTACATGTCATTATTCATATAGTAATTTACAGTGGAAGTAAACAACGATATTAAGCGTCTTTTTAATCATTTACCAATTTTTGGGACCTCGCATTTTAAAAAACGTTTATCATTTGTAAACCTTTTGGATGAAAAATAATCGATAATTTATGTTTGTATTTTAAAGCACCATTTCGCATTTCTTGTTTAAGTAATGCCAGAAAAAAAATTGGCTCTATTCAACAATTACATTTTTCTGAAGAGTTATTTATTTAAAAGTCCAATACGTTGATTTAAATGACTACAAAAATCCACTAAATAACCCTTTAAATTAAACCAGGGGTATATTTCTATTTCTAGTTTATATCGGGTTGAAAAAAAGTTAATAATATTGAATATTACCTTAATAAGGTTGCATACAGCAGTAGCCCCAGATCCTTTCTCGCTATCTTGCTCACAAATCATCTAAAATCAAATGTTGCATAGTAAAATTCACCTAAAACGCTTGCCAGTTAAAGTCCAATTTGTCATTCCGACCCACCCAATCTTATTATTTACCGGTTAAAAAATCTATCAATGAGTGAAATTAAGTAAGTCACATTTTCTAAAATTTGGTAACTTATCTTTCCAGTTGAAAGTTGAAAAAAGAAAACTTATTTGAGAAAAAAGTGATTCTTTAGTAAACTCAGGTATACAATACTTCAAGTAATAATTACTGTAAGGGATTATAAAGGTATTTTTTTAGCGAGTCCTCCAAATCGAGAGGTAGGTCTTAAAAAATATGAATAAGATATCTTCTTTTTTCAATCTGAAAATTTATCATTTTACAATTTTAATTTCTCTGTCAATGAAACTCGCTGATATATATTGCAAGGCCAGCGAAGAAAATTGTAAGAATTTAACACTTTTCATGATAAAACAAAACATAGATGTCTTCCTCATTGTTAACTCTAAAAGATGTTTAAAAGGCACTGTTGTGAATCGGACAGGTGTATTTGTAAAGGGAGGGTCCCTTGATAAATCACCTTATCCGTGACAACTATGGCCTCCTGAATAGCTCTGGAAGGATCTGTTTGAAAATGTTCTGAATCTACAAGTTTCTCGTGAAGATGAGATGCAGCAGATATGGCAGCTTTAACACCAGCGTGTCCGTCGTAAACTAGAATATATTCATTTAATATTCATATGACCATAAAGCACAAAAGAAACAACAACTTTACCAGGGGTGTACTTCTTTTAAAATCAGTTTCCTCACATCTTCATTGAAATTAACCCCCCCCCAGACTTAAGGTATGGTTGCGGAGAGAGCAAATTGTTTTAAGGTTTCATTCCCTGAAGAAGATTTAAAACCTTGCTTTTAGACGTCAACTTTTTTTAACATTGAAAAGAAAAACAGAAAAGGATAAATAATTTCCCAATTGCCATCCGATCATTTTGAACAAACATTTTAACAAGAAAAAAATATTTATGATTTAATTAAAAATATTCGGCACACACAAGAATAACAATACAAAAGTATTTTAATACCCATTTACTGCACTGCATATTTTTATCTAAAAACTATAATGCATTAATTTTTAAATCGATTATTTACTCTGAGGACATCGTTATAAGATGCAGTTGAAATTAAAATTCTAAAAATTATACTGATAACTTTTTATGAATTATTTTTCTGTACATTTGTTACAAATGAATCAATTGTATCAAATGTAACATTTGTAACCACTTACCAGTGTACCAAATGTAATATTTGTAACCACTAACCAGTGTACCAAATGTAAATACAAAAATGTAACCTATTATTATAAACCTGAACTAAAAACTTATAAACGGACAGAGAGAGCTTAACTCATTCTACTTTAGGCGGGAGATTAACCGATCTCTCATTGGTCCCAACTGAGCTAGCTAGTTTATACCTGCGTAGAATGAAATATGTTGATCAGCTGAAATCTTGTCTTGAAGATGACTTGGCATATATGCTTTCAGATCATGCAGTAATACATGACGGTCCTCCATACGCCTTAAAGATGCAATCTATAAATCTATTAATCAATGAATCAACCGAAGAATAAATAAATGAGTTAATCAAAGAATTAATAAATGAATAAATGAATCAATAATTCAATAGTGCAATAAATCAATCAATGAATCTATGAATCAAAAATTAAATCAATCAAACAATAAACGTGTCAATCAAAGAATCAATCAATGAATCAATCAATGAATCAATCAATGAATCAATCAATGAATCAATCAATGAATCAATGAATTATTTAATTAATTAATGAATAAACCAACGAACCGGCGAACCAATGAAACAATGAACCAATGAATCAATGAATCAATGAATCAATGAATCAATGAATCAATGAATCAATATATCAGTCCATAAATCAACTAATAAAAATTCAAACAAAAAACTCTAGCGTTTTAGAAATCAAAAGAAACACACATACTTATCTACATTATAAATTCTTTTTAACTGATTCAGATTAGATACCTTCTAGTATTCCGCATACTACATATACTTGATGTACGGAATTTGGACGGTGACCCTTTATCCTCGCTTGGAATCGAGTCCCTTTAATCATTTATCAATGTTGGATCAGAGTCCCTTTAAGAAATCGTAAATATAAAGGTTTGATTTTTAAGTCCCTATAACAGACCATTTATTAAAAATAGAGTCTTGTCAATTGAACCACTAAATTATCATTATTAGAAAAGATTCCTTTTAACAAGTAAATCATCAATATCTTAAACTTCTTTTTACTATGATTTTGAAAAATTAAGGTAATGATTAGAAAATAAAAAATTTTAGTTTGCTTGAAACATTAAAGGTATATTGGACATTTTACACACAACAGAATCCATAAAGCTGAGGTGAAGACGACGTTTCAACAATCTAATATAGATTTGGTGTTATCATAAAGCATAACTTTTACCACTTGGGTCTGTTAACACTTTACAATTGCTGTATTTCATGCTTATTTTGGCTTCCTGAATCCAAATCCGGATCCGCAAAAATATGCAGATCCACGGATCCGGATCCAAGGGGTAAAATATCACCCAAAAACTGCAAAAAAAAACTTTTTTACCCATAAAACCCAAATCTGAACTTTTGAAAAAAAATAGAGATTATAAAAATTTCCTCTTTTCTGTTCTGTTCAAGTTTTAGGATAAAAATAAGCGAAAAAAAATTAACAAAAAATTTGAAAATTATTTTTTACTAAAAAAAAATTCAGTAAATCTTTAAGAAATGACCTGGATCCGGATCCGTATTTGGATCCGAAACCATTTTTTCCCGGTGCGGATCCAGGATCCGGATCCGCATCAAAATTAGATGGATCCTAAGCGCTAGTTGGAATATTTAAAAGCATAGTTTAATCATCTTCGTATTCCACAATTATACTGGTCCCACTGGAAAGATTCATAAAAAATAAATAAATGATTCCTTAAGGGTGGATTAATACCAGCACTCTCAACATCCACTGGTTTCTTCCTGAGAAAAAAGTAATATTTAATTAAATTGAATAATGCTCAATTTAATTATACAAAATTATTTTCGAATAGTAAAATTAAGTATCAAACTTAAACCGCGAATACAAAATACCACATTTAAATAAAAAAAATAAGATAAATGCGTTCATACAAATTATGAAAGTCAAAAGAACTTTTAAAAACAGGTTTAACTCTCTAAGAATATACCCATACTTTAACGGAAAATTAGAGTTTAATCATTTAAAATTACTTTATGAACATATTGTGCACTTTATCACTCTTACTCACTTCATCGTGCTAAAAAAGTCATCGTGCTAAAAAAGTCATCGTAATTAAATTAGCCGTACATTATAGCACGTCGTTTTCTCGATGAAGAGAATAAAGATCAATTTCTGTCTAAAAACTTTATAACATCAAAGCGAACCAAAATAACAGTTTTATAAATAGTTATTACAGGGAATTTAATGGAATTTTACTTAAATTTGCAAAATTGGTCGCGGTAACCCGTCGTTGGTTATGTAAAATTTTTGATATTCCGAAAAAGAAGTTGTAGACAATTTTATCGTCATTAAAATGAAAATCCGCAATTTTTATACTAAAACTTCGCAATTAGTAGATCGTTTTTTCAGTTGATTGTCCCAAGGGACATAAGTAACAGAATGTCCCTTCGTTAAGTTACTGCTAAAAATTTAACGAATTTTGACAATTTCAATAAAGAAGCTGTCGTATTGTTGAGAAAGTTTAGTTATTGAGAAGCCATATAAGGGAGCGTGATGATTCATTTTGCAAGAACTATAAAAATATCAATCAAATAAAACATTATCTAGAATTTTAATCTTGGGATGAAGATGTTCGGTTTATAAGGTAAGTTTAAATTGTTGAAATGAAATAACAAAATAACACCAATTATTTTAAACATTGAAAATAAAAATAAAATTTCCTAAATTCGATATTTATGAAAATAAGATCAAAACCAAATCAAAAACTGTACTTTTTCTGTTTAATTTTGGGTCGCTGTTACTTTAAATTGGACTGGGCGGGATGGGCGGAGCAGCTTCATGGTTGGTTAACTAGAAAAGGGCGTGTGTTCCTGTCACCGGAATATTTGAAAATATCTGAACACAGCGGCTCGGCATACAACAGTTTTGTCAATCGTCTTTGTTTTAAACATAAATACAAATTTAACAAATATTCTTCACAATATTTTTCTCTGTGAAATAAAATAAAATGTATTTTTCCTGTAATTTTTTATAAAATTTTTTTGATTGATTTTGATTTCTACTTTTTTTTTGATAATTAAGATTTTGCGGCATTTGAACGCAACGTCAGTCAGTGCTCAGTCAGACTCAGCTTCCGAAATTATAGAGCTTGCCCTAGATACTAAAATAAATTTATAGGCTCGACTCGCTGTCGGACTGCCGAGGCGAGAGGTTCTTCACTGGATAGCTCCGACAAAGAAACCGCTTCACAGGATGTAATAATACGCGGAGTGGTGTCGGGACCCGATGGCGGGGGCCCGACGGTGGTGCGTCGGGGCCCGACAATTTCTTGTCGGGCCTTCCGACGTTTCACTGGCGGGCCCCGATTCCGACCTGGAGGATGTGGACTTCGCTAATATTGGTCTAGGAAATTACCACTTTGGGGAAGTACTGTGTCGGGACTGATACGAAATATGAGTTGGATGACCTTTATCGATGGAGATATTGGTCAGGCGCTAAAAAGGCGGTGTCCTGCGCATGCCCTGGGGCTAAAGGTGGATACTCAAAAAATGGGTATTCACACTGGTGCTTGGACGTGTGCAGTAAGCGAAATCTAGTATGGAACACGTCTAAGCAACCAGAACTCTTTCCTTCTTTTTTAAAAGATGCTCATATATGCTATAGCAAATCTGTTTATTACAAAGAATTTATAGAGACCAATGGCCTTGTCAGCAATATGCAAAACTTATCTGTTAATTTACTTGATAAAAATTCGCAAACTCTTATGCACTTAAAAAATTTGCAAATTATTATGCAATATACTATAAATTATCAATGTTACCTGCAACTTCTTAACTACCATATTTTCAGGAAATTGAATAACACTCGACAATGGAGTGTTGGAACCCGACAAAGAATGCACGGAAGCGGGAAAAAATGGAATGGAGTCCAACAGATTGATGTCGGAATATTGCAAACAAGAATCGGAACCCGACATACAATAAGCGGGAGCCGAAACTCATTGATCGGCGTCCGACAAAGCAGCGTCGGGATCCGACAACTAGGAATCGGAACCCGACATATGAGGGGGCTATATATAAGCCAGACTCAGAGGAATTTGTTCAGTAGAAGGAGAACAACGCTAAGTGAAACATACAAAGCAACAGAGGTTATAACTAGGAAAAGTGATACAACCAATCTGATCGGCGCCCGACAAAACAGTGTCGGAATCCGACAATTAGGAATCGGAACCCGACACATGAGGGGGCTATATATAAGTCAGACTCATAGAATTTTGTTCAGTAGAAGGAGAACAACGCTAAGTGAAACATACAAAGCAACAGTGGTTATAACTAGGAAAAGTGATACTACCAACTTGATCAGCGCCCGACAAAACAGTGTCGGAATCCGACAATTAGGAATCGGAACCCGACATATGAGGGGGCTATACATAAGTCAGACTCAGAGGAATTTGTTCAGTAGAAGGAGAACAACGCTAAGTGAAACATACAAAGCAACAGTGGTTATAACTAGGAAAAGCGATACAACCAACCTGATCGGCGCCCGACAAAACAGTGTCGGAATCCGACAAAACAGTGTCGGAATCCGACAAAACAGTGTCGGAATCCGACAATTAGGAATCGGAACCCGACACATGAGGGGGCTATATATAAGTCAGACTCAGAGAAATTTGTTCAGTAGAAGGAGAACAACGCTAAGTGAAACATCTAAAGTAACAGTGGTTATAACTAATAGAAGTAATGGGATCAGACAAGAATTGGCTAGATCTTGGAGAAGGGAAGGTCTACTCCTGTGCAAAATGGTCAAAGTCCGATACAAAAATCTGAGTAGATCATTTTCATATTTGACCCAAACATTATCGTACAGCAGGACGACATCAACGCTAATTGAAACATCAAGAATAGGTTGTACAAACAATGGAAGACGGCGTATAATGACTAAAGGAATATACATCAGAGTCGAAATTCGATTAAACAATCCTAGACGACGGACGAGAAACGGAATCCAACGCAAAATGAAAATATCCGTCAATACTAAGGGGCCGCTATCAACAAGAACCCTGAAATCAGGACTACTTGAGAACAAACAGGTCGTTCTTGTTTTTTAAAAATTTTTATTTTTAAAAATTTTTAATCATAAACCGCAAATCTATGCAAAGAAAAAAATATTTGATAATTTAGAACTTTCTAATAATATGCATCTTCTTCTTACCTTTACACAAAATATCACTGTTAAATCTATTATATTTATGCAAAACTTTTTTTCTGCAAATCACTTAGTGAACTTCAAAGCAGGACAACTCATAAACCTCATCTTAAAGAATATAGGTAAACAAGACTATATGAGAGGAATACTTCTAAGATCTGGGGATATAGAAGAGAATCCAGGACCGGGTCTTCTAACCATCCCTGAACCAATGATCTTAGAAGAAACTAGACTAAGTGCAAATCTTGAATTCCCAGAAAAACAACTATATGATATTGGATACTTTAACTTTGAGGAATTTCTAATAATTCCTAGAGGAATTATTGCAATAAAAGAAAAACTACACAATCATATATACTCTTGCCCCCCTTGTGATAACCTCAATAATTGTTTACAAAAATTTTTGAAAATATATATTAAAAAACCTATTCCGCTCAGTAATGCAATGGTCACTATTATAGTAGAATGCTTACAATGTGTAAGATGTGCATATTGTCTAAAACTAACCAAACACAAACCTAATAAATTCCTACCAGTGGGTTTCATCTGCAGTCAAGATTGTGAAGGCAAATATATGAATGAATTCATATGCACATATTCAGACAGAGAAAGAAGTATAATATTTCATCCAGAGCATAGAACAAGGGCCCTATGGATGAAACATTTGGGACTAAGAACAATGAACAATATAGGTAGGATACCCTCATGTAAAGAACATTTCACTTATAGAACCTGTATAACAGATTGCCTCAATGTGGGAGCTATCAAAACCTGGATAGAAGATCCGGAGAACAGTCTTAAGGAAAGGAAGAAAAGAGCCAAAAAAAGAAATGTGCCAAGTTTGGATGCCAGCCATATTATCGAATTAATACTCAATATTGCAGGAGGAGCAGTTTGCGCAGGGGAAAAATGCGCTAGAAATCTCTGGCTATATAAAGGAGAATCTGAATATGATCACAAAACAGGTCTACAATATTGTAGTAGCAGGTGCTATAGAACCAGGATAAAAAAGGAAATTAACTGCCACAAAGAAAAGGTACAGATAATACACGACTGTATTAAAGAAACCTATCATCTAAATCAAAAAGAACTGTATCAAACACCTACACTTGGAGGAGCCTCACTATTAGACCAACTCAGCAATTATGTAACAAACAATCAAGTAAACTCATTACAAGAAAAAACTGCAGGAAAAATCCTAGAAGGAACTGCTAAGATTACTACATGGAATATGCAAGGAGCCACTAACATAGATCAAGCAATTCAATTTCTCAATAAAAGCAAACCTGCCATATTATGCTTACAAGAAACTAGGCTTAATGAAGATAATCACCATATATTTCAGAATAAACACTACAGATCTTACCAAGATAGAATAAGTGGTGACATTGTTACCTTCGTAAGAAAGGATGTTAAAGCTAAAATGATGGATGATAAGGAACTTGAAAACATCTCATACATGATAATAGAGGTTCAAACAGAAGGAGAGAAAATCCACATCGCTAATATTTATGCTAGAGATGGAAAGCTCCATTACAAACATTTAAGATATTTAACTGAAAAATATAAAAATATCATCATACTAGGGGATCTCAACGCTAAACATAGTGATTTACTTGCACACACACAAAAAACAAAGTACAATAGCAACGGACTACAGCTTAAAATTTTCTTAGAAGGAAAGGACAAATTAAACTCCTCTCAAGCAAATGTATTTGTACATAACATCAATGATGAATCGGAATGGACCCACACAACACACGATGGTAAATGGGCACAGATTGACTACATTATATCACACATAAAATAACGGAAACACATTATGAATATATGTTAGTTTCAGATCATCAAGGACTCTCAGTGAAAGCTCCGGAACTTTTCCCGGAGACACACACACTCTCCAAAAATAAATTCGTTCCGGACTGGAGATCATATGATCCTTGGAAATATAAATATATAGTGGAAATAGAGCTTGAAGCAGTCGTCGTAACTGGAAACTGGCATGAGCAACCTTTGCACAAGAAAATAGAAGTATTCACTAATGCACAGAGACTTGCATTTCACAATTCTATACAGTTCAAACAAGTATCCAGTAGAGGAGGAACTAAACCAAGATGGCTTATCCAACTGATACAGCAGAAAAGGAGATATCAGAATGGCCTACGCAAATTAGCCTCGGACACCAGAAAGAAAAGAGAGGAAGCTATTAAAATTATATTAAATACACCTAATCCAAACCTAAAATTTCATTACAACCAAGAAATGTTTGATTTCTGGGAAAAAAATCAAAAAAACTTTAGAACAGAAATACACAGAATGGCCAGAAAAATAAATAGAAGTATTATTAAAATTAATAAAGAAAACTGGGAGAATGAATTGCATAAACTTGGAGAGTTAGACATCAACAAAGCACCGAAAGAATTTTACTCCACGATAAAAAGATTAAGTGGAATGGGACGAAGTAATAATGGCATTAGGAAAATGGAGTATAATAACAGATGCGCAAATACTGAAGAAGGAATAGCTGATATAATGGCGAAACATGCTGAGGATTCATTTAAACCACTAGATGATGAAGGCTTCAACTATTTTTACTTTCAATCTATAATGGAAGAATGGGAATCTGCTCAAGAGGCCTTAAACAGGGCCAAAGGGGAAGTTATAATCAACGGAAATGAAGAGGAAGATAACTTCACATGGAATCCTAAATCAACCAATATTAACAATAAACTGCATAGTGCGACTGAAAAGGAAAATTTTAACCCCAATCTAACAAAACATCAACTAAAATCTTGGGAACTAAACAATGAAAAAAGATACAAAAAAGTTAAAGAACCTTTACCTCCAGCGCCCAAACTTAATCTACAAGTGAATGAGAATTGGGATGAATTAAAAGCACATAGCTGCAAAAAAGGGAAAGAAGAACTAGAAACTGTATACAAGGAATTTAACATAGAAAATTTAAATAAAGTCATAAACAAAATGAAAAGGAAAGCTCCAGGAAATGATGAACTTGTTATAGATCAATTCAGAGATTTAGGACATGGAGGAAAATTAAAGTTACTGGAAATAGCCAACGAAATTTATCAGACCGGTACATTCCCTAAACTTTGGAAACAAGCTATAGTAGTACCTATACTGAAGAAGGACAAATCTGCAAAAGACCCGGGTTCTTACAGGCCTATATCTTTACTACCAGTAGGAGCAAAAATAGTGGAATCTCTAGTACTTTCCAAAATCAACCCATACCTTAACAAAAGAGGTTTGATCCCAGTTGCACAAACTGGTTTTTGCAAAGGACAAAGCACCGCACTTAACCTCAAAAGAATGTACACTCATGCTTATACAAGATCAATTAGGAGCACCCATCCCACATCATCAACAATGGTCTTCTTTGACGCAAAAAAAGCCTTTGATAGTGTTTGGCATATTGGGCTCCTTCATAAAGCTATGAGGGATGGCTTGCCAGGCATCATTATCAGATTTCTCAGATCCTGGTTACAAGATAGAACGTTGAGAATCAGAGTCGGTACAACGTTAAGTAAGCAAGTCAAAATGGAATCAGGGGTACCTCAGGGATCAGTGTTAGCTCCAGAAGCATGGAATTATAACACAGGAGACATACCCTCTACAAAAACTACACACAGCGATACAGCAGTCTATGCAGACGACACATCCTCCGCCACATCCCACAGAGATGTTGAGGTATTAATTGAACTAGCTCAAAAAGAAATCTGGCAGCTCACAGACTGGACCAAACAAAAAAGGATCAAATTTGAACCAACCAAAACACATGTTCTAGCCATCAATAGGAAGCCAGAGATAAGAAGAGAAATCAGAAATCACCCCTTATATCTTGACAGAGGGAAAAAAGATGAACTAAAATATGCTAATCATGCCAAACTACTTGGAGTCACTTTTTCTGAAACAGGAACCTTCCACAAACACATCAATGACAAACTCAAAACATGCTATGGAAGAATCAAACAATTATACAGATTTGCTAAAACAGTCAAAGGGGATACCTTATACAAGGTCTATATGACCTCAATTGAACCAATTATTACATATGCTACTGAAGTCCTATATGAAAATATGTCTTGTAATACAATAAAGAAACTTAATGCCATGGAATTTACAGCCATCAAAACCTGTTATAGTCTTGATAGACAAACACCCACAATTGATTTAATAGAGTACTTAAAGAATGGAGGAATAGCAGAGAGACTAGAGAAAAGAAGAAACAACTTTATAGAGAACAATAAGGACTCTATCCTCATCAAGCATGCAGAGACGCTAAAGTACTCAGAAGGAAGAAGAATTAGAACCAAGACAGTCCACAGAGACAGATCCACAAGGAAGAAGGGTTGGAAAGCGAATCTCCACCTCCACAAGGAACACCTATTCTTCTCAGACCTCACCAATGCCAATACACAAGACAACGAAAAAAGAAACATCAGCTTACTCCAAAAAGACCCAGCATTCCAGGAAGGACACATCGCTAATTCACCAATCAGATTTCCGGAACAAGAAATAAATCATGTCAGGTTCAAATGCAGACCTGGATATGAGAGAGGGACTCAATTCGATCCTGGATAAATCTACACCTGAAGATCCCTCTCAAGCTTGCAAGATGACGGTTTAGTTCCTTTCCCCAGCTCAACCCCCAGTAGACTCGTCACTTGTCCCTGGGGGAATGGCTGGGGTTTTCAGGAACGTCTGCTAAACGGACCAGTAATATACCTCTTTTATATTACTGTCTATATACCTTGCTGTGATAATTTAGTTTTTTCTTTCAGTATTATTGTGTTTTTTTAATTAATTTTGATTGTATGACAAGATTTAAGACACCAGTCACAAGGTGTGAAGAAATAAACGTTTATCTATCTATCTATCTATCTAAATAAATTTATATTTTACAGTAGTGTTATCACTAGATGCCCTGGCCGCAGCGCTCATTCAGTCAAGAAATTTTCTGGGGTCGTCCTAGAATACAATTTTTTGGACGCCCACCCTCTCCTATGACCACTTATTTTTCAGCAATTTTATTATTATTTATTTTTTATTATTTAGGGTTAGGTTAGGTTAAGACATTTTCTGGGCCGAGCGCTGCGACCACGGGTTAGGTTAAGTTATTACACATTCTTTTATTTAGGGTTAGGTTAGGTTAAGACACTTTCTGGGCCGAGCGCTACGGCTAGGACAGGCGAGCGCTGCGGCCACATGTCTTACATTTAAGATCCTCTTACATTTAAGATCCATGTACGAAATTAATAGGAGGGGGGGGGGGCCATAAATCGTAAACTAGGAAATTACCAATTTTCTTAGTTATTTGGGGCGAAGTGATCTGGATGGGCTCATAAGTTATGCTCGCCCACCCTCCTATCAATTTTGTACATGACTAGATTTCAAATATTTTCAACAAAAAAATGTATATTTTGCATTACTTTAGGGTTCGGCTAGGACGATTTCTGGGCCGAGCGCTGGGGCAGGACAGGTTAGGGGCCGAGCGCTGCGGCCAGGACAGACCTTCAGATTTAACAATTTTCATCAAAATAAGTATACATTTTTTAGGATTAGGGTAGGTTAAGACACTTTCTGGGCTGAGCGCTGCGGCTAGGATAGGCTAGGGGGCCGAGCAATTAGGATTTATTTATTTGTTCATTTGATAAAAATAATTATTTTTTTCCTACGTACTAGTGTTCAAATGGACTGAAAACCTGTTGTTGAACAGCTGACTTTAGTCCAATCTGCCATTAGTCCTATTAGTCCAATCGATATGGCATACAAACGAACAGATAGAGATTACTACTTTTTAAATACTTAATTTTTTAGATAAATTCTAAATCTGCAGAATGGCCGGGAGAAGAGGAGGCGTGGAAAGGGTTTTATCAAAACTGAATTCTTCAATTGAAAATAAGAATTATTATGAAGCTCATCAAATGTACAGAACCTTGTTCTTCAGGTAATAAAAATATAATGGATGGGGGGGGGCAAATCAAATGCATAAATAAATGAGTGATATTAATAACAAACTAGGTATATGGGACAGAAGAAGTATGTTTATATCAAACAAGGTATATGGGACATAAGAAGTATATTTATATCAAACTAGGTATATGGGACAGAAGAAGTATATAAATAACATACCAGGTATATGGAACAGAATAAGTATATTAATAACATACCAGATATATGGGACAGAATAAGTATATTAATAACAAACTAGGTATATGGGACAGAATAAGTATATTAATAACAAACTAGGTATATGGGACAGAAGAAGTATATTAATAACATACCAGATATATGAGACAGAAGAAGTATATTAATAACATACTAGGTATATGGGACAGAAGAAGTATATTAATACCATACTAGGTATATGGAACCGAAGAAGTATATTAATACCATACTAGGTATATGGGACAGAAGAAGTATATTAATAACATACCAGATATATGGGACAGAAGAAGTATATTAATACCATACTAGGTATATGGGACAGAAAAAGTATACAGAACTAGAAACAATGCTCTACGACGGAGCTTGTCTTCTTTATTCACATTCCCAGGTAATTTTAAAACTAACTTGTGATAAAACATTTGTTTTTAATTTTTGGCTGAATTTTGAAATTTTTTTCGAATCATAAATATTTTGCATTGTGCAGGGGGGTTATTTGTAAAGCTTAGTATAAGGAATAATTAAAAAACAACATTCATTGTTTTTACTCCTGAATATTTTTTTAACAAACATAGAAGTCATTATAATGCATTACGCGATTATAAAGGGCCCTCGGTTTTGAAATTATATTCATACCTTATTATTCTATTCATAATACATCTTAGTCATTTAAAATATTCACATGAAGCCTGAACCATGATTTATCTTAAATAAGCTTCTAAAAACTTATTAGTTAAATTAATAAAAAAATATGAATATTTGCTATTTACTATTTATATTAGGTTGAGAGTGGATTGGACTTGTCTAAGCTGTATTTAGATCTTCTAAACCAAGGAGAAATCAAACCAGAGGACGATATTTTCCAAAAAATTGCAAGGTAAAAATTGTGATATAATTCTAAGAAATGTATTTATTAAAAATGACTTTCAAAACGTTCTGGGGAAAATTAGAAATTTGAATTTTAACTCAAATGTGAAGGTGGGCTCCGGCTGGCTTGACTATATAAAAAAAAGTATGGTTGAAATCTCATTTATTAATAAAGGGTTCTGTTGTAAATCGGACATATTACTCTACAATTGGGTTTCCATTGTCTAAAGAGACTAGAATGCGTAGATCTAAAAGATCGGAGAAAAAAATCACTGCTCTTTTTAAATTTTGTTTTAAAAATTAAATTAAAAATAAAAAAACTCTAGAATTGGGAATTATATCTATAGTATTTTACTTCATTATTATTTAGATTGTATGAGCTTATTCCCTGTGATAATGTGGATAAGCCGGGTTTCCTGTCCGCAGCGCTCAAATGGTCCAGTTTAGAAACAGGAGCTAATGTTGGTCACCCCAGGTAAAAGATCTTCAACGATTTAAATTTGAAATTAGAAATTTTGATATTTTTTTATAACAGTAGTTACTAAAATAATGTAAAATAATGTTTGCTCTTCAGATTTTATTGCCTTGTCACTGAAAAAAAAATTACAATATTACACACAGACTGCTGAAAAAGAACCATCAGGTTTTAAGTCAAAACACCAAATTTTTTTTCGGAATATATTAATATGCAGGCTTCTGAGTATAATCTAAATTTTCAGAAAATGTCACCTAGGGAATTTTAATTTTATCCATTTTATAGAAATTATAGAAATCAAGTGCAATATTAAGTCTAAACTCAATCGTAACTGTGGGTTCAAAAATTAATCAAGATTATCCTGTGTTTTTTTCCGATATTTTTAGAACCGTTGAAGGTAGGGTCCCCAAATTTTGTGAAATTTTCCTTAACAGTCAAGAGACATGTTTCAGCCAAAAAAAATCAAAGCCTAAAGTGAACTTTATAATTGCCCAATTACTGCCTAAAAAAGACTTTTTTAAGTAAGATCAGTAAAAATTACATCTAAATAACTTTTTCGGGTCGCAATTTGACAGTATGGCAGTTGAGTTAGGGCTGGGATTTTTTGCTACTATAAGTTTCATGACTGTTAAAGAAAAAGAAAAAATTTGGAGACCATGTCATACTGTTAAAAAAATATCGTCAAAAACTCCAGAAGAAGCAGATAAAAGTCTTGAAATGAAATTTTTGTTTAATTTAAGACCTGTGAATGCACTTGATTTCTACAATTTCTTAAAATTGATTTGCTCAGAATTCCCTAGGTGGCATTTTCTGAAAATTGAGAATATAACTCTGTAGACTGCATATAAGCAGAATCCAAAGAAAAGGTTTAGGTGTTTTGACTTGAAACCTGATGGTCCATTTTCAGCAGTGAGTTAGGGAGGGACAATTTTGAGTTATCATTATTTAACATCTTTCTTGATAATACTTTTTTCAAGCTTTAACAATTTTTCCCCTCTGTTTCGCACAATAAAATAGACCGAACAGCATTAGAGCTGTTTTTTAAGGGGAAAAAAGTGAAATGCTGGAAATTATTAGATAAAAATTTCAGGATAAAGGGACCGTTTTCATAATTTTTAGTGGTACTCCATTTAGAGAGGAGCATGTTAGATTCATAACAGTACTCTTAATAGCTTTGTCAAATCGAATATGATTTAGATTTTAGATATCTATGTTTGTGATTTTAAAACTGATTATTTTCATTGTGGTTTCTATATAAAAGTGACTTGCGTATTTATACTTTAGGAAAACAATGAAGATATTATCAGAATTAATACAGTTAAAGTTAGAAAAACGACATTATCTTTCACATAGTTGATCTGATAAAAGATTGAAGGGTATTGTTGTGAATCTGGTTCACCCCTCTTTAAACATGAGGGTTACGTGAAATTACAACGCAGTTCCTTTAAATTAGTTTTAATTTGAAAACGGATTATTTAATTTTCTTGTTAATCTCAAACATCCAATAATCCTTCAAAATAAGAAAACAACCTTGCCTGAAAATTCCTTTTTAATAATTTATAAGATAAATTTGTACAATATCACTATCATTATCCAATCAAGGTTTAGTAAAAATATATTTTTTAATCTAGATTCAGGATCCTTCTAATAATAACGCAATAGATCCGAAGCTCTGTTCTAAATGGATTGTAAGCTTAATTTTAAGTGACCCTCCAGTGTCCACGCAAAGGCAATGCCGAATTATAATGGTACCCATTACACCTTAATCTGAGCTGGGAACTTTAGAATGATGGATATCGGGATTAATGCTTGATCCTCTCTTTTTCTTAATCTCGAGATTAAATAATGAGTTTTCAGCTCTGATCAAAAATGTGGAAGATACCGTCGTTTTTCTGAATTGTTAAGCATTTAATTCAGATAATCTCTCCATTGATTCTTGTCAGAAAAAAGTGCTCAAGTCATTTCGCAGAGAATTCTCAAAGTAAAATAAAGATATTAAAAAAAAAACAAGATTGGTATGTTTAGACAAAGCTTATAAAAGGTACTAGACCATTGTAAATCGGACATTGCTACTTTTACATATAAGGGTCACTTGAAATTTCGCTCACAGTCCCTTTAACTATGAAATTAATTTCATAGACATCCTGTTAAATATTAAAAAAATTCAGGTTACATCAGTACATAGCTTACTCCTTATGGCAGAAACGAAAATATTCGGAAGCAAGGAATCACTTTCTCCACAGGTATCTTGTGAGAACTTGATTAGGAATTCCTATTTTAAAGTAAAACCTTAAATACTTGTTTTAAATATGAACCCTGATCACTTCCACTCCTGGTCTTTTGATCTTTTCCGGCCAGGGCTTTAGAGCATTTCCACCCCTGACCTTGACCATTTCCGTCCCGGTCTTCTGATCATTTCCACCGTGGTCTTTCGATCATTTCTGTCTTAATCCTTGATCATTTCCGCCCTGGTCTTTCGATCATTTCTGCCCCAATCTTTGATCATTTCCCCCCTAGTCATTCGATCATTTCTGCCCTAATCCTTAATCATTCCACCTTGGTCATTCGATCATTTCTGCCCCAATCCTTGATCACTCCCACTCTTGGTCTTTTAAACTTTTCTGCCCAGGACTTTTGAGCATTTCCACCACTGACCTTGATCATTTCCGTTCCGGTCTTCTGATCATTTCCACCGTGGTCTTTCGATCATTTCTGTCCTAATCCTTGATCATTTCCGCCCTGGTCTTTCGATCATTTCTGCCCCAATCCTTGATCATTTCCGCCCTGGTCCTTTGATAATTTCTGCGTTAAATCTTGATCATTTCCGCCTCTCGTTCATTTCTGCCCCTTGCAGGGGTGTATATTATTAAGAATGATTTTTAAATGTTTTTGTTATCGTTATCGTTATTTTTATAATTGTCATTTTATTTAGTTGTGACGGCGAAGGGTGTGGTTCAATGTTGGTTGAGTTCCATACTACTAAAGGATTTAACTCTGAGGAAACAATACTAATTAAATAATCAACTTTTTCGAGACCAAACAATTACGAAATCTAGCTATTTCCAAGATGAAGTTGTTCACTATTTTATTATTGTTTTCTACAGACCGAGTTGTTTATTACCCAGACCGTTCTGCAATATTTATGTTTGAAAAAACATATTGTTGCCGCAGTAGCCTTTCGTACATACACCACCGTGCACCCTAGTAAGTACAGTACATATGTTCAACAGATTTCGTAAAACAGAAATTATGAAAAAAATAATTAAAATTTCAGAGTTTTTTGTTTGAATTGTTTGAATATATCCAGTAATAGGGATCCTATAATCCTACATTTATAGCCTTTCCCTAAAAATAAAGATTCTCTATATTCTAATCCTATATTTATTTCCAGGAATAAAGATCCTCTCTATTTTAATCCTATTAATATCCTATTCCTATATGTATTCTAATCCTATATTTATATCCAGGAATAAAGATCTTCTATATTCTAATGATATTTCAGGAATAAAAACGGATCCTCCCTATTCGAATCCATTACTAAACTTTATCTGGTTTCTCCTTCTTGCAATCCGTACTTCATCTTCAGTCAGGAATACAAGAATAAAAACATAACATATCATATGCAAAAATGAACATTAATACCAAAGAATTTATTACAATGAATAAGAATGTTTAAGAATAAATAAGAATGTTTAAGAATAAATAAGAATGTTTAAGAATAAATAAGAATTTATAAGAAAAAACAAAATAAAAAACAGAACTTTAAAAAAATGTTTTCCTTCTCATTTTTATGATTCACCCCTTGCTTTTTTACCATCATTCTTTACTATGAAACTAACTATTATTTAATTATCATTTGATTTAGTTTTAAATTGGGTTAGGTTAGATGTCTAATTCTATGAAAAAGCATATCTTACCTGGGGCCAGACTTATTAAATAACTTGAACTATCCGAACATTCTTCGGATTTCTTCCTTTTCAAAAAGTTGTAATTTTCTTTTTTCATGAAATCTCATTTTCAACTTTAGAGATTAGCTATTAAAAAATCAATGATCTGTCCTAATTTTTTAATGGAAAGCAAAAAAATCTTTATTTAGAGTAGACATATTCCTTTTGCAAACCCCGGTAGTCAATGCTTAAAACGAAAAATCTGCATTTTTTTGAATCATTGTAAAAAACAAACAAAAAGAATTTCTACAAGAATTTTCAAGTGAAATATTTAGTTAATTATTCTTGTTTACAGTGCATACACTGTTCTGTGTGAAAAATATAAACAATTCATTGATCGAGACCCTCAATACTTGGAGTACCTTGATAGAATAGGACAGGTAGATACATCAATACTTGGAGTACCTTGATAGAATAGGACAGGTAGATACCTTAATACTTGGAGTACCTTGAAAGAATAGGACAGGTAAATACCTCAATACTAGGAGTACCTTGATAGAATAGGACGGGTAGATACCTCAATACTTGGAGTACCTTGATAGAATAGGACAGGTAAAAACTTCAATACTAGGAGTACTTTGATAGAATAGGACAGGTAAATACCTCAATACATGGAGTACCTTGATAGAATAGGACAGGTAAATACCTCAATACTTGGAGTACCTTGATAGAATAGGACAGGTAAATACCTCAATACTAGGAGTACCTTGATAGAATAGGACAGGTATATACCTCAATGCTTGGAGTACCTTGATATAATAGGACAGGTAAATACCTCAATACTAGGAGTACCTTGATAGAATAGGACAGGTATATACCTCAATACTTGGAGTACCTTGATAGAATAGGACAGGTATATACCTCAATGCTTGGAGTACCTTGATTAGGACAGGTAAATACCTCAATACTAGGAGTACCTTGATAGAATAGGACAGGTATATACCTCAATACTTGGAGTACCTTGATAGAATAGGACAGGTAAATGCCTAAACACTTGGAGTACCTTGATAGAATAGGACAGTTATATACCTCAATACTTGGGAGTACCTTGATAGATTAGGACTGGTAGATATTTATTTATAAATATACCACAATACTTGGACTGTCCAGATGGAATAGGACATGTATATATATACCTCAATACTTTTTTTTGGCTTGTGTTTGTGACGCCAGGGTACTTTAAGTACTACCTAGATAGAATAGGACAGGTGGATATATAAACCACAAGACTTGAAGTACCTTGATAGAATAGGACCGGTAGATATATACCTCAATATTTGGAATACCTAGATAGAATAGGACAGCTAGATAAATACCTCAATACTTGAAGTACCTAGATAGAATAGGATAGGTAGATATATATATATTCCTCAATACTTGGAGTACATTAATAGAATAGAAAAGGTAGATATATACCTCAATACCTGGGGTACCTTTATAGAATTGGTAGATATACCTCAATACTAGGAGTACCTAGGTAGAATAGGATAGGTAGATATATACCTAACTAGAAAAGGTATATGAATCATATAATAAATATACTTTTTTGGCACATGCAAGGAATTTATATAGAAATTTCAGACAAATTGCAATTGAAAACAGAAAAATTTGCAAATCTTAAACTGTGCTGTTCAAACATTTAGAAAGAAGGGTATTGCAGGTGGATTGAGAAAAAATTGTTTCAATATTTGAATTGTATAATCTGCCAGAACCGCTGTTTTTATTTTGTGTCTGGGACTAATTTCCTGTCTCTTTCAACCCTGTACAAAACCTTATTTTTACAACAAAGGAACGCAGAAAATTTAAGATGTGTTCCTGCAGAAATATGAAAAATAGATTAATTTCCTATCAAGAAATAAAAGAAAATGATAACGATTATCTATTATGTCAACAATTGTATTAAACATTTTAAACATTAAGAAAATGTTTAAGCTTTTTATTAACGATAGATCACAGCAAATTCCTGCGATAATTGCCCAACTAACCCGTCGCCAATTATTTTAGTCATTTTTTCTACAACAAAAATTGACGAAGCACTCTTAGTGTTCTAAGTTATGTAGTATTTTTCAGTCAAAGTAAGGGTGAAACTATGATGAAAACGCTTAAATTCACCTTGGATCAGTTTCGAAGTTTTTATTTCGTACATTATAAAAAAAAAGATTTGAGAATGTTTTTAGAATTACCTAAACTCATTCAGATTGTCACTGTTTTGTGTAAATCAAATATCTTGAGTAAAAAATTTCATGAAACAAATCAAGATGTTTATCATAATATCCACCTTGAAAAACTGAGTAAAGCTAAATTTAAACAGAAATTTTTTTTAAGATAAATGTCAGAGTATCAAAATAAACTTGTTTTTAAGCCTTAAATCAACCGAATTTAAATATCATAAGACAGTAAAATGGACGGTATTCAGAGGTTCAAGGCGTACTTTTTATACCCATATTAATATGTCTTTGAGAAAAATTGAAAAATCAACCTGCCCCTTTATCTCTATTTTTAAATCGCTATTTTTTTAATAATTTTTGATAATTTCAATTTTTTTACTTTTATAGTTGCTTCTAATTTGTTACTGAATATTTTTTTGCAATTATATTTTTTTTATTAGTAGAAAAAAGATTTGGCATTTTTGTTCAAATAATTACACCCTTATTTTATATTTATTTTACCATTTTTATTCAAAATTAAAGAAAATAGTACAAATTAATTAAAAAATGAATCCATACGATGTCTTTCGGTTAACAAATTATGTTAACACAATTTAGAGTTCCAATGTGACAAAAGCAGAAGTTAATGTATACAAATAAATTATGTCACAAACTCAAAGAATTATGAATCATGATTTCTGATCTTTACATTTATCGGATAGACAATCTTTAGATATTTTTTAAGGGGTTTTGTCAGATTGACATAGTAAATAATAATTATTTTTCTTAATTAAGAAAAATCTGATTTCTATGTTCATCTTTCTTGTTTCTGATTTCAAAGAACATATTTTTCCATGTTTTTGACTAACATTTAATGTTTACTTTTTGTGTTGATTCAGCTTCTTTTCTTTATTTTGATTTTTTTTTGCTGAATTGAAAAAATACGCCTTTTAAAACCATCTTTGCTGGATTTTAATTATGAACCTATTTTTTATTTTTTTTTATTTTTCTTCGTTGATTATTTTTCTAGATTTTCTTTGGAGTTCCTCCACCAGAGAAACCATCTGGGATGTTTTCAGGTATTTTCATAATAAAGGGAATGTCCTCGTAATCTAAAGTGACCCTCATGAAAGAGGAACATGTCCGATTCACAACAGTACCCTTGAAACCTTAATCTGATCAATAATGTGGAAGATAACGTCGTTTTTCTCCCTTGTACACAGTGTTCAACTCTAATTATTTCTCCTACAAGTGATCAGAGCTGAAAACTTTAGAATTGGATACCCTTAATCCCGATCGCTTAATCTGTATATTTAATTATGGACACTTAAGATTTACTTAATCCTCTCTTTTGGTACACTCTGATTGGTAGAATTCTTCAGTGGATAAAGTTTACAATGATCTGGAGATTAGCAAAGCATCGATCTAGATATCCACAATTCTAAAGTTTTCCGCTCTGGTTAAACTTTTTATGGTATCTTTCTTAATCGGACATGTCACTCCATCAATAGAGGGTCATTTAAAATTACGTTTTCTTTTCTTAACTAACATGCAATACACACTGCTGAAAATGGACCATCAGGTTTCAAGTCAAAACACCTTTTTCTTCAGAATATGTTAGTATGCAGTCTACTGAGTTATAATCTCAATTTTCAATAATGCCACTCAGAAATCAAGTGCGTTTACAGGTCTAAAAGCAAGAATAAATTTTGTTTAAAGACTTTAATATGCTTCTCTGGGTTTTTTGCAATATTTTTAATGGTCCATTTTCAGTAGTGTGAATAATAAATGATTGCAGAAAAGTTAATGTATTTTGGTTTTTTAATTTTATTGTCATTAATTTGCCAGGGAAAATCGACCCAAATATGTATAGACGAATTTCTAGTAAATCATATAACAACCGTAGGACTATATATTAATAGATTACTGTATAAAATATAACGAATTTTAGTTTTTAATTATGCTGTCATTAACTTGCCAGGAGATTTTTTCATTATGTTTCCCAGGTTTAATCACCCATAATTAATGTTTCTAGACTTGTTTTGATTATATATTCCACCATTCTACTAGATTCAACAGTACAATATACATGATTAAACTAGAAATAATCAGACTATATTTAAAATATTTAGAAATACAACTTGCTAAGGAAGTTTACTTTATTTAACTTTGGCCTAAATGTCAGGCAAACCTTGAATGACGGTAATTCTAAGGCGAGGCATGGCTCAAATTTGGTCGTGTGGCTGGGAACTTAACAATTTACAAAATTAAGTGTTAGTACAATGTTTACATTATAAAGAAGTCCGGACTGAAAAAACGAGACATGGAATGGACTTAATCCTTCAATCCACTACTGGAATCTAATGTCATCCCTACCCAGACCCCATGTGATTTAATTTGATTAATATACATTTACATTAATATACAAATGGTAAGAACATGCTAGAGGCTAAAACTTTTGGTGGGAATAGAGCTAAACCACTTTGACTGAACGTGATATTTACACCGTAAACTTTTGAATTGAAGGTTTTAGTTTTTAATCCGGATTTAAAGAAAAGATTGTCGTTTAGCGACTCAAATCAAACCACAAGAAGGAAGGCGACCGAGCACTTAAATAACAGATTTAAAATACAAAGTTTTCACCTTAGGACTGTTCAACTCCTTGCTAAAGACGATGGCCGAGGATTCGTCTGACGATGAATGCCCTGGACCTAGTTCCAGGTTGGTATTGTATACTTTTTTATTGATACACCCTGTATATATATTGTATACTTTTTTATTGATACACCCAGTATATATAATGTATAATATTGTATTGATACACCCTGTATATATATTGTATAATATTGTATTGATACACCCTGTATATATAATGTATAATATTGTATTGATACACCCTGTATATATAATGTATAATATTGTATTGATACACCCTGTATATATATTGTATAATATTGTAAATAAACCCTGTATATATATTGTGTAATATTGTAAATACACCCTGTATATATATTGAATAATATTGGAAATACACCCTGTATGTGTATATTGTTGTATTGATACACCATGTATATATAATGTATAATATTGTAAATACACCCTGTATGTGTATATTGTTGTATTGATACACCATGTATATATATTGTATAATATTGTATTGATACACCGTGTATATATATTGTATAATATTGTAAATACACCCTGTATGTGTATATTGTTGTAATGATACACCATGTATATATATTGTATAATATTGTAAATACACCCTGTATGTGTATATTGCTGTATTGATACACGATGTATATATTTTGTATATTGTTGTATTGATACACCATGTATATATATTGTATAATATTGTATTGATACACCATGTATATATATATTGTATAATATTGTAAATACACCCTGTATATATAATGTATAATATTGTATTGATACACCATGTATATATATTGTATAATATTGTATCCTAGTGTTAATACATTAATCATTATGCCAGGCTGCCCAGTAGCTTTTTTACAATAAAACCCATTCCAAGCATATATTATTATTTACTGCATTCTCTCAAGCTATCACAAATATGTATTTTTATCCATCGGATCCGGATCCAATGACTCCTTACTTTCAAAGCTTTCTGAATCCGGATCTACGGTATCCGTATTTTTTTAACTTCCAAAATCGGACTCACTGAATCCCCACTTTCTAAGCTAACTTAACCCGGATTCACTGAATCCCCACTTTCTAAGCTAACTTAACCCGGATTCACTGAATCCGTACTTTCTAAGCTAACTTCTCCCGGATCCACTGAATCCGCACTTTCTAAGCTAACTTAACCCGGATCCACTGAATCCGCACTTTCTAAGCTAACTTAACCCGGATCCACTGAATCCGCACTTTCTAAGCTAACTTTACCCGGATCCACTGAATCCGTACTTTTTCAGCTCCCTGAACCCGTATTTTTAGTTTTCTGAATCCGGACCCACTAAATCCGTATTTTTTCAGCTCCTTGAACCCGGATCTACTGAATCCGTACTTTTTCAGCTCCCTGAATCCGGATCCACTTAATTCGTATTTTTTTAATTTTATCATAAAAAATATGAATTTAATAGATCGTGGTGTGATTGGAAAAAGTTCATTTGCTGAATTTAGCAAAATATATTATTTTTAGTGAAACTTATTTTTGTGTAAAAAGTATCATAAAGAATGACAAAATTTGCCTTTTGATGTCCAACATTTCATTTTTTCTCTTCCTAAATAATCAATTATCATTCCCGGCGATGCACTTCTAAAAAGATAAGGAGAATTTCCAATAAAATATGATATCTGCGTCCAGTTCATGTTTGGACTAAATTCCCATCAAATTAAATTTTTCTTGAAATCTTCAAACACGTATTCACATTCTACCCCCCCCCCCCCACCAAAAAAAAAAATTAATAATATTTTGCGCTTTACGTAAAAAAGATAATTTACAGTAAATAAAAAACATCGAATTATGATTTCTATTTGTTTCAGCGTTACTGTTGCTCCGAAGAAAAAATTGGAAGCCGAAGATTTGGATTAACTCCAGACTTGGATTAACTCTATATTTGAATTAACTCCAGATTTAGATTAACTCTAGATTTGGATTAACTCCAGATTTAGATTAACTCTAGATTTGGATTAACTGCTCAGGAACTGGATTAACAACTACTAATTCAGATTTGGATTCAATGGGCCCCAGTTATAGATTTAGAACTTCAAAATGTGATTTAGAACTCCACACTTGGATTCAGAATTCCAGATTTGTATTCAAAACTTCAAATTTAAATTCAGAATTGAATTCCAGATTTGGATTCAGAATTCCAGATTTAGATTCAGATCTTAAGATTTGGATTTAGACCTTCAAATTTGGATTCAGAATTCCAGAATAGGATTCAGGATTTCAGAATTAGATTCAGAACTTCAAATTTGGATTCAGAACTTCAAACCTTAAAATTTGGCAACGAATATTATGATTCTGATAACAAAATTTTCTGCAATGTTTCACACAATTTGTTACATACGAGGTTTAGATTCTGTTGTTTACGCTATGTGATTCAATAACTATAATTGTGCTATTTTTATCGTGAACTTTTGCACAATGTGCACTTTTAATTTAGTTTTGGTGATTTAAAAAAAATTATTTTTATATTTTAGGGGTGGGGAGCCCGGCACATAAATTTACATGTTTCTTTATTCACAGAAGGTGGTTTTAATTATAGAAGGCGGATATTACGGAATAGAATTTTGAGGTTCTAGGAAACCTTGTTCTTTATTTACCTCTTCCAATAATCCGAGAACATGACCTTTTTCTGTTGAAGTTGACCGTCCAGTAATCAATTAATGAGTGCAAGGGATTGTATGCGTAATTTTAATAAAACCTGTAATTCGAAGTGCCTGCATCAATTAACAATTTAGTACCATTTAAACCTTTCTTAGTTATAGGGAGTGTTCGGTAACAATAAAAGGGGTTGTTTTCAATCAATTCACTTCCATCTGATAGTTTTGTGATGAAGATTGAAATTAAACGTTTTCGCTCAGCACTGCAGTTTCATAATTAAACTGATTTTTGTTTGTTTTGTGAGCAAAGAATACAATTGCATTCTTATATTAAAAATTAATTAATTAATTGTGAAAATATTAATTAGTAATTTATTAAATGATGTGATATTACGTCATTATGAAACTGTATTACAGAATAAGTTCAAGGTGTTCATATTCATGTTAATCTTCTAAATATTAATCATTAAAAATCCTCAAAAATGGCACACTATTTATGCATAACATAATTCAATTATTTAACGAATGATTTCAATTTGTTAATAGTTAACAAATTAAGATTTTTTACTGAAATATCCAATGATAAAAAATTATACCAGTCGATATATTATATTTTATTCTTGTATCCATTTTCATTTTTCCAGAACACTCCTTTTAAAACATTAAACTTAAGTGCTTCACATTTTATTTATTTTTTATTTTCCACTTTTATGTTAAACATGTCTGAATTCGCGTCGTTTTCTTGTTCAAAGAAATTGTATAATTTGTAATAATGTATTTGTAAATATGTTCTAATAAAAATAAATGGTTCCAGAAATAGAGAAAGATACAATGCAGAAAAAGGATGACTCTTGAAAGACGACTGTACAGAAATGTTATCGTCCTTTTCCCTATGTTTATTATTCCCTGCAACCAAAACTTGTAACTTGTAAATAAAGCATTAAAAGACTATCGATATAGCAGAACAAAATTTTACCATGATATGTCATATTTCAAGGTTTTTGGTCGTCTATTACAGTCTCATATTTTGTGTATAACCCTGTATGTGGAAGTCAGAGATGGGTTAAATTCGTTTTGTGGCATAATGTCGACTAACTTTTCGTTTATGAAATTATTCCATTTTGGAAAATAAAATTCTGCGTTGGTCTTTATTTTAATGAACGGAAGATAATCTATAAGTTTTGGGGAAGATTTTAACAACCCAATTTTCAAATCTTTAACATTAGAAATAAAAGTTTAAATAATTCCAAAATACCTTAAATGTCCCAAATTAATTACTTAAAACAAAATAGATAAAATTTTTAGCACAGCGTGCTTTTTATCGTAATTGGGAGCATTTTCAGGGATAAAAGCAATAATTTTGTTAAAACAAATTCTTCATAAAATGACCTAATTTGAGTCTTTCTTATGCAGAATCGTGACATTTTTTCTCGTAATTTCTTTTTTGAATTTAAAAGTTTGTCCCCCCTAGTTGCGGCTCTGAAAATTTGTGAAGCAATTAAGGTATAACAAAATATGTGGAGGAGGGGGGGGGGCATGGTTGTTTACGTTATTGCCAGGTTTAAATTTTAGGGGGGGGGGAACTAGAAATCCCATGACATAAAGGGTTAATAACCCTATTCCGTTCTACCAACAGTTACTATACAAACCTCATAATGTTAACATCTCTCCGAGTTTACTCGCTTCTCATTCTCTGCTCATGCGTGCACAGTTTTGTATTCTGGGGGGAGGAGGAGTCTTCTAAACCACCAACTGTTCTTCATCTTAGGAAGGTAGGGTAGTTCCCTCGACTCATTTTTAAAGGGAGTGTTCGCGAAAAATGAAAGGGGGTATAGGCTTAATGCGATAAAAAAGCGCTTTTGATCGCCACTAATCTTACTTCTATCTGTTGCGTCTATAAGGAGAAAATTAATAAAGACGTCTCATACCGAAGAGCGTAGCGCCCATACAAATTGAGGAAGTTGGAACATACGACTTAGACCGTAAAAATATCAATTCAATTTCAAACAAATTATTCAGATATTACAACCTATAGTCATTGATTTATGTTCTAGGAAATGTTTAAAACAACCTAGGTTGGTTGTTATGGCTTTTGTAGAGGTAGTTTAGTTTCCAGGCATAGCTGTGTTCCGCAAGCTAGTATAATATTTGTTTAGATAGGGCGACGCATTTCTATTTTTAACATATATTTCCTATGCGTTGGCTCAAGGGTTTCCAATCGAAATTCCGTTGCGCGCAATTGTGCGGAATTGTGAGGAGCTTACAGGACTCGCAATTGCGCGCAAGAAAATTCCAATTGCGGCGTTGGAAACCCTAGACTAAAAGTGTCGAAAAATTCCGAAACTCACCATTAAGCCAGGTTTGAACGAAGAGCTTTGGACGTTCTGGCTCACAGGAACAACTCTAGAAATTAGTCATGAATAGGATTGAAGAAATGGATCACGCGACACAAGATGTCGTGTCATTTGTTATCTGATTCATGATTTGGGTCTGAGATGAAGCCTTAAATTTGGGTCTAAATAATTAAAACCTAAGTCTAAACTTTAAAATCGTGGGTTTTGGTATCATAATACATCTATACGTACTCTAGGTGGGAGTAGATCTGTATCCTGACGATCTCCGTCATGCACCTCCCTACACTCATCTTCATCATCCTCATAGGAAGGGTAAGTCGCAACTAGAGGTTTTTCTCAAGGGGGGGGGGGCGATTTTTAAAAACAATTTGAAATTGAGTTGAATTAAGATAAATAATCTATTATTTTCTAGTCGTTTATTTATCGGAAAACTTCATATTTGAAATATTTTATTCTTTGCAATGGAATTTTGTCTAGATCTTTTATTTTTTTCGCCACAGTCTAAAACTTAACAAAGAAAAGTTACAGCTTATATGCGGAAGGGACCAAATATTCTGCTTCAAACTTCAATCTTTCATTGTGCACAGATAATGTGTAATGTATAACTGTAATGATATATGTACAATATTTTGTGATATTTTGAGACCCTGGTCCGTATAAAAGTTTTCGCATAATCATGAATAAAAGACATAAAATTTATCCATCTGCCATCTTCTTGTACTGCAGGGTTACCCACAAAGGATGAGACTATAATAAATGAAGACCTGAAACATTTTAAATATATTGATTTTAAGTTAAATTCCCCAGCATCAAAATAGTCATGATCGGACCTTTTTGCGATTTGACCATGAATGTAAAAACCAAAACTTTAAAAAAAGTGATACAGTCCAGGCTCTTGATACAGTCCAGGCTCTTGATACAGTCCAGGCTCTTGATACAGTCCAGGCTCTTGATACAGTCCAGGCTCTGAAATCTTTTACACGTTTGAAGCATTGAAACATCTTTAACTTTCAGGAGGCTTCAGCAAAATCTAAAAAATATTTCCTCAAAAGTTGTCTTTTTAAAATAATGGAAAATTTTGGCTCTGGCAGAAAATATCAGTCTAAGCAAAACAAAACAATTGATCGTTGATGAAAAATTGTTCAATTTTTTAATCTTTTGTAAGTGTCAGGATTTTGCAAAGTGTATCAAAAGGAAACTTAAAAGAGCATACAATTTTGATATGTGTAGGTCAGGAAATAGAAACAAATGTTGATTATGATGTCAATAACAATAATAATAATGATAGAAAAAGTTATTATTAAGAATAATGATGATGATGATGATGATGATAATGATAAACTTCAGGGGACCCCATGTTGTCCAGACGACCTATTCTGAAAATTATCCATCCTCATACTCATCAACTCTCTCACTCTAACTCCAAAGGTTTGTAATGCTCAAAAAATGAAGACGACATTTGAGCATAGTTTTGTATTTGAAAGCAAATGATTAAACTAGTAACACGAAAATTAACATATTAAGTGAAATGGGTCTGTGTTTTGTGTGCAGTGCACAATTGCCGTGTTTCATTCTAATTGAACTATTTGTGTCTGATCATATTTTGATATTGGGGAACACGGTAGATAACCTGGATCGTGTTCTTAGCTTGGTTTAAATATTCTAAATCAATTAGATCGACTTTAAACGAGAGATAGATATCTGGGTTCCCATGCAAGTAAATATTAAAAGTGGAAAATATAATTTAAAAAATAATTTTTTAAATAGCGGCGAAAAATTGATTGACCAATTAACAACGGCACCCACTAAAGTGAATTGCGGATTTGTGCTGCAGTGAAAAGGAAGGCAATTTAACGGAATTACAACTTGTTAAGTAAATCTGGAATGTATCTCTTAGAAATTAGACTCACTAGAAATTACGTTGACAATTCCATTAAATATCACTAAAAATTACAAAAATTTGTATTATATAATTTCATTTTCAGGCCCTCTTCGACGCAGAATTGTTGGATCAAGATCTCAATAGAAAAATTCCATATTTAATGTTTCAAATATATTATTAAAATTCAGGTATCCACACAGGATCAGACTTCAGAGACATTTCTTTAGTCCGTTTTCTTGCATTCAGGGTTCCTTGTAGTCCAAACTGGCATATTTCTGTGCTTGACCATTTAGTTTGCCATCAAATTACTCAATTGAATGCAGTAACCAAAAATAAAGGTTCAAATCGTCATATTTTTAGAGCTTGGGACTTCTTTACCGTCTCATCCTTAGTGGGTAAACCTGTATTAACGTTTCTGGAAAATTACCATTAAACCAACTAAATCTAGAAATGTTATATGTATACTCAAGGATGTAAGGCAAGGAAAGTTATTTCAGAAGTGTACACATCTTTTGTACTGCGGTGTAATCTCTCTGGAAGGTTTAATGTAAACACAGACAGATGTCAAAGCTTGACATGGGATCCATCTTTCACATAAAAAAATCAATGAAATATTCTGGTCATAGGAAACTATTATGTGAATTATCAAAATTATCAAAATTTAATGTTTTTAACCTCCTCGAATACTAAACAAACACTGATGCATCTATTCTTGTTTACAAATTCCGCCCAAAGAGAACTGGTTTCAATGTGTGCGCAGAGTATACACGATCGCAATAAACTTTCCTTGCACTACACCCTTGTGTATACTAGGCTTTTTGAGCCCATCTTCTATTTAAATTTTTAATTCTTTTCGCATTTTCTCTTCGAAAAACAAAAATAAAAAGTTTTGCTGATTTAAATTTTACGAAAATACAAATCATTTTGGAGGCAACTTTGTGTAATTCTGAACATCCATAAACCTGTAAGGTTCCAAGCAATATCGGGCCCGATCATTACAGGGGTTTAGACAATTATCGACTACAAACAAACAAATAAGCAAAGTACATATATAGATTTGTATTCTATGTAATCATTTTAAAAGCAAAATACAAATTTATTTATTTTTAATAAAATTATTGATTCCTACAGTTTTTAGATTTGTACTGATATTTCCTAAATGTAATTTGGTTTGTTATTCTTGCTTTTAACTTTCAATCTTTAACTGTGACTTAAGCACTCAGACAACATATTTCCGTTTGGCTTTAACTAAGATATTGCATTACTCATGTGCTGCCCTAGGAATAGTAAACTTTTCCCGATTTTTGGAGTTAATCCCTTTAATGAAAAATATGTGCAGTGGGTCCCTGTGGCTATCACTATCCGCATCAAAAGTTAATAAATTTGAGAAACTGAAACTATTTTTAAAATATGTAATTTTTAACATTAATAAAATAGAAGTGTCCAAATATTAAAATGTTTGTTATGTTTGAATGTTTGTTCACTATAGGCGACAAATGATAAAATGATTTAAATGGGTGTTATCCATCAAATTATCCATTTAGACACAATTACTGTACAACTTGCTATGTATAAAGTTGGTCTAGCTCTTCACAATAACCAAATTTTTCTGTTTAATGTATTTAAATTTTTCATAATATTAGCACATGGGTTAAGAAAATATTTCCTATAAATTTTAACAAATAAGAAATTTGATTAATACAATAATACTTATCACAAAGAACTATGTGCTGTCATTCCAAACGATTTAAATAATTTTTAAAATAAATTCAAATCAAGAAAATATAAAATTGCCTGTAACAATTAAAAACACTGTTACAGATATGAAAGATCTAGAGCTAGTTGATGTAGTTGTAGTTGTAGTTGTAGTTGTAGTTGTAGTTGTAGTAGTTGTTGTTGGCACTGTTGTTGCAATTGAATTCAAGAAATCATTCTGTGCAACATGATATTCCTTGGTATAGTCCTTCTTTAGACTTACATTCTGTCCAATACTTATATAATTGGGTGATGCTAAAGACCAGGGCTCCAAATTGAACCCTGGAGAACCCCTAACTGCAAAGTTTGTCCACATTTGAACAATAGTAGACGAAACTTCAAGCTCCTCTTCTGTTAGTTCTCCTTTAACACAGTAATGCCATCTTTTCCTGAAAGAAAAAAAATTAACAAATTAAATATCTTAGTTTTTAACAATCAAAGTTACTTCACACTAAATTACAAAATAAAAAAATCGCTTATGACAGGGAACAGTTTATTTTTGTTCCTTAATAAGCAGCCATCCAACTTTTACTTTCAAAAAAGTATTTTTTTTATTTCGTAATTCAAAGTTGTATTAATTAAGGACTTACCTAAAATCTGAATCATCTTCAACACACTGTTCTAGTTGACCTATGCATGGTATAACATCTGCCATGAAGGGGGCTAGATCACATAGCACTAAAGGAAGCTCAACATCAAACATGTACAGAAGCTCCTCAGCATGGCATGCTCCTGGTTCTGTGACTTCTGCCTTGTTATTCAGAAAAAGGAGATGAAACACGGATTTTTGATCAGCAATATAATCAAATGAATACCAGAAAGAGTCTGCATATTCTGAGTTCTCTTGGATTGTTTTATATGAAGAAGCTTTGAGAAAGAATACGCTGAATAGATCTATTACCCCTGGCCTCATGCTTGTTAAATTTCCAAGCTGCCATTCTTCAAAGTACTCATCTCTGATCATTTCTTCGATAGCATAGGAGTTGTCAACCCCCACTGTTCCAAGTAATGTAGGGATAAAGTCATAAGTAAGAAAATGCTCATCCTCGGTCAGGTTGTTTGGAGCTAGGTAGGAATTAAACATTTCAGCATACACGTAGGAACCTTCATAGCTGTTTGCTCCGAACATTAGAGGAACATGATTATAGTTTCCATCAAACATAAGTGAAGCTGGGGTTTCATCAAAAGCTGCATCGTAGAACTTTCTGGCCCCCTTGGTTTGTGAACAGGGGATGGAACCTCCAAAGCCTAAATCTGCATTTTCTCGTTCTAACGATTTATAGATTGCAAAGGCTATAGAAACATCTTCTGCAGGCAAACCCCTTAAACAGTTTACCAACTCATCAAGATTTTCTTGATTACATCCTGCCAAACTAGCAATCTCTTTTGCATGTTTTTCAGGAAATTCATCAAATGCCCAAGCTGCCAAGGCAGAACCTGACTGGCCTATCCCCTGAGAAAACAGTCCATTGGTCTCTTTGGAAAGCAAAAGGTGGTTTATAGCAGCGCTACCTGCGGACTCTCCAAATATTGTAATTCTTGATGCGTTTCCTCCAAAATAACCAATGTACTGATGCACCCATTCTAGTGCAACCACCATATCAAGCATCCCCATGTTACCGGCAGCTTCATCTGTATCTAGGCAAAGGAAACCTAGTGGGCCAAGTCTATAGTTTATTCCAACAACAATTACGTCCTCCCAGGATCCAAATCTTTCGGAACTCATTTTGATGTGTGTTCCTGCATAGAATCCACCACCATGGATAAAGAACATTATTGGGAGATCTTTCTTTTCTGTTCCATCAGGTTTCCAAGGTGTGGAGACGGAGAGTTGAAGACAGTCTTCAGATACAGCTAAACTGATGTCTAACCAGTCGTAAAGAAGTTGGCCAACTGTTTTATCCGGGGCCATCATTCCAGATTCAACTTCAAGTATAAGTTCAAAAATCTGTAAAATACTGACAAGGAAAGGGTCATCAGGTTCAAAGCATAAAGGAATACTACCAGGCATATTGCACAGAGTTTCAGCGATTAGGACTTTAAGTACAGTATTGGTTAGATTATCTATTGAGTCTGGTGTAATCTGGCCTAAACCATCATTCTTATTTTTTTCATGCTTAGAAGTTAGATCAATCCAGTTTCTGATAAAAATTGGACTTTTTGCTGATTTCTTACTTTGATTCTGCATATGCAGACTGAAAGTTACCAACAAAAATAAAAAAGTTTTTAAAAAACTGTCTTCATTGCTCTTCCTGATTGCTGTCATATCAATGATCTTTTGATTTATCTATTTTAAGAATAATATTCCTTGAAGACAGAGAGGTCCATCTTTAGTAGCATCATAGGCTCCCTCACCACTAAGCTTGGTGTCATTCTTTATCCTTGATTGCTTAAATCTATCCTTGTCTATCAATGGATGTGCATATGGAATATTCCTGAAAAAAAACCATTGATGTAATAAATGATGAATAAAATAAATTTTTGGAACATTTTTTCTACTAAAAGGGACAGTAAGCGTAATTTCAACTGACCCTCTATGCAATGATGGCTATGCCCGTATTACAACGTTACCCTTAAAAGCTTTGTCTGAACAAGTACGCTTTAGTTATACAATTCTGTTTCTTTCAGCTGTTTATAATCATTCATGGTTTCTCTGGAAAAGTGACTTGCGTAGTTTATGCTTATAAGAAACAATGGAGAAATCCACTGAAATAAACACTTTCCGAGTCAGAAAAATGAGGCTATCGTTTACATTTTTGACTGAATTAAGGTTTCGAGGGTTCTGTCGTGAATCGGATATTTCCATCTTAGCATATGCAAAGGGTCACTTGAAAATATGCGTACAGTCCCTTTAAATACAGGGTGTCCCAAAAAACATGGGAATTGAGAGACGACATGAAAGTCGTCTTTGATTTCTGATTATTAATACATGGGAAAGAAAGTATAAAAATGAGGCTGTACGTGCTTTTCATAAATTGGTCTTCCTTTCTCGTGTCTCAAAAATTGATAATAAGGTTATTTTGATTTATTAGATAAATTGAAATTTGTACAATTTTGCAATATCTCCGTCAATTTTGAAAATACAAAAATGGTAGACCTCCCTTGGAAGATCTCAAGACCTGCAGCGTTTTCGATATTAGATTTGAATACTGCAATTATTGTGTTAATGAAAAAATGCCACATTGACCACTAAGACGATATAAAAGTCATCACTTAATTCCCATGTTTTTTGGGACACCATGTACCTGCAGCCTCCCCCCCCCCTCTGATAAAAGCAAACCATTAAATGCACATTTCTAGCTTTTAAGTTTTGTTTAACGGTGGATTGTTGTTTAAAATAATACATAACTAAAAAAAACCTTAAATTTAACATAGTTTTAATATTTTCTAATTTAATATTAAAATAAAAATAGTATTTTAATAACAAAGAATGTTTATCCCTTGAGATAATTACAAGGGTAAAAATGGTGACCTTTTGGTTAAATATAATTGAGATTTGGGAAGAGTTTGAAGTAAAAAAAATGTGTTTTACCTAAACGTGTAATAATCTCGTCCGCTATAAGGTGCTGTAGGGTACACTTTGGTTTGAACAGTTTTTCCAGTTATTTCGCCAAGATTGCCTAAAAAGGATTTCAAACTATTACTCTGTTTAAAAAGAAATATTTTAAACTTCAAACCTTTCCTAGGACCAAATTTAATGAAATTGAGCTAGGTCATTGAACTATACCTACCGCTGGTTTAAATCATGAAACACTGATTCAAAACTAAAGACTCGTGAGGAGGTTAGTTCAGAATTTAAATCTTTATTAGGTAGTTCAGTGGCCTCTCTAATTCGTTAACTTCGGTCACAGAAAAAAAATATCTTTAATTTTAAATGTTATTACCTAGGGTAAAGCTAATATTTTGTGAATGAGCTACCCCGGAAACTAAAAGAATTGAGAAAACAATTTCTAGAGGAGACATTTTGTTTTAAAGAACTACACCAAGGAGTTCCTATATACCCACTGACGGATTCAAGGAATTAAACAATTAATTTTAACATTTACAACATAATTTCCTCTTATCAACATCGTAAATACTAATTTGCCCACGTAAATGGTAAAGCAGGGTCATTTCTATTTTAATCTGTAATGTACATATATATATTTATACAGGGTTACCCACAGTGGATGAGTATACAAAGACGACTGTATGAAATTTATTCAGTCTCTTTTCTTCCCCGACAATTGCTTATTTATATTTAATTGTACCAAATAATTTAGTAAACCATTAAAAGATTATATTTAAAGGGAGTGTTCGCGAAAAATGAAAGGGGTATAGGCTTNCCATTATAAGACTATATTCAAACTTAGTTTCATTGTGGATTCGTCTTATTTTAATAGATTCACGTCGTCTGTACATACAAGCACCAACCAACAATATTTCTTCTAAGCTATTAAAGTGCTTGTTCGCCTATATTAGAATTATGTTACCGCTCAAATATGGTTCTGAGAGCTATCAATAATATATATAAAGAATTGTAATCCATTTCCTATACATTTCTGAAATATTTGAATCAAGTTTTAATTGGGGAACTTGGAGAACCACGGGAATGTTTTTAGCTTTTTTTAAGAACTTCAAGTTTAGTAGCTTACCTTTTTATATGAAAAAAATAGTTTCCTTCCAAAGCTGGATTCCCAAGCTAGGAATCCATTTTCTCCGTAAAGGGCGTTGCACTTATACAGTGAATTTTGCGCATTTTTAAAATGTTCTCTGTTGATTAGACAAATAGGAAAATAAACGAACATGAAGAAGCATAAATAAATTTATGTAATGAAAAAAAAGCAAAAGTATATCAATGAAAAAAAATTTTAAATATCATTCTTGACTAAGAATTATGCAGAAACAACCTAGCAACCTTTCCGCCGATGGCAGAAGTGATTATAGAAAGAAAGAATTACATATCTTTTAGATTATTTGAAAATGATATAGAATTTTAAACCTTTAAACTAATTTCAATCTTTGATAGAAATAAAAAACGAAAAATCAAAAAAAATATTTTTTCTTTATATTTAGCATATAGGTTTTTTTTTACAAGCTTTATATTTGGCATTAATTGAAAAACAAAATGCTATTTTTGTTGATTTTTTGCGTATAAGTTTAGATTTTTTTATTTAACTAAATACTTCATGTTTGATTATTTTATTGCTTGAAGATTTACGAATTTACCTTTTTTTGAATATTTTAACAAGGTTAATAAGTTGAAAAGTAACATAAAAAACTAGCTGAAGTGCCCGGCGTTGCCCGTAAAATTTTTTAAACACTTTGGAAAAAGGTCAAATTTTGAAACAAAAAATTGTTTTGGAGAATAAAATCGATATCGATACATTACTTATATACTTAACAAATTTTTAATAGAATTGTTGATATTTCTTCATATATATAATATATATTTATATATATATATATATGAGCTAAGAGCTTTATTATATAAATAGTATATTTTACAGAGCTTGAGCCCCAAACTTGTTATTACAGGGTTACCCACAAAGGTAGAGACTTCAGAGACGATTGCACGGGAAATTTATGGTAAATTTTCATACCTAGCTCTCCTAAGGTTCTCCTCAGTGTTTAATTATTGTTTTTTTTCGCTAATTAATTTACACATGATAAACACCTTTTAAAAAAATACTTTATAAAGACTAAACCCAAAGTTTCTCCGGTTGTCATTAAATTTGAATATTTTTGGTTAACCCTGAAGCTGACTTCCAAATTTTCAGAAATACTATATTTCCTCTTTTCTTTGCCAAATACATAAATATTAAATACTTTCTTATGATCTTGTGAATATGGTCTGCCTTCTTTTCTCTTCTTTTCTTCAAAGTTTACGAATATATAAAATATTTGAAAGTTTTCGTTGTTATTTGATAGAGTTGAATCTGGATAGATTTCTTAAAATTTCCGTCAATTTACTTACAAGACTAAAAAAGGAGATTAAGATACAAGAACTGTAGAAATATGCATGGTATACACCATTTTCTCTTCTTGATAAAAAATCCCAGATATATGAACCAACCTACAAGCAAGATGTTTTCATAATGTCGTATTCTCAACATATTTAAGATGAAATGCCGCAGAACAACGAGTTTATATATTCCGGGAAAGTAGTTCCAAAACTAACACTCGGCATTTCTAACACTGAGTGTTGGAAATGGTCCAAATCTGCAAAGTTATCATTTTCAAGCGTATTTCTTTAAATCCAACCCGAGCAAAACTACACCATACATTTATTGAAAATGGCCGAAACTATTTATTAAAACGAGAAATGTCAACGTTAAACAAAAAATAAGGCGTGAGAATTAGTTTTTGATGATTCTTGTTTTCATTTTTGAACATATCCCTATTTTGAACTAATGACCGGATTTCAGCTGATGTCACGTTTTTGAAACATATTCTGGTTTTGAGACAATTACTTGAATTCATATCAATGTCAATTTTCAAGTATTTACGCACTTACGTCACAAAACAAGATTTTTGATAAGGTAAAATATAAACAAAATATAAAATTAAAACATTGTTCTCTCATCATTAAAAAACATTACGGCATGTAGAAATCAAATATCAATATCATTCTTTTCTTACAATGTAGATTTAACTAGAAATGCGCGAAATGAAATCAGGTTTATTCTCTTACATAATGTGGAAATATAGATTCCAGATATAATTCAGCAAGCAGTTCATTTATCTTCATCGATCATTTTTATTTTCAGTGATTTATTTTGTAAATCAATGATTCAAATTCAGGATTCGAAAATGGAAAGCCTGACCTTGTTTTGAAAACTATCAAGGGTTTTAATATAAATAGAACTCCTTTAATAATTTCGATTTCAGGAAATAGTTTGGAAATAATTGTCCTTGTCATGTTTAATAAAATGTTGAATTTAAGTTTTTATAATCAAATTTTACTCTCAATATGGGCTGGGATCTTAAAAACCCAGTCATTCAATTTGTGCCCCTAACACTCCGTATTAGAAATGGGCCAAGTGTTAGTTTTGAAACTAATGTCCCCAGCAATTGCTGTCCTGCATATTTCAGGGTTATTAATTTACCTCGAATTAAAAATAAAAAGCAGTTTCCAAAGAATTATCAAAAAACTTATGACTCTTCAATGATATTTGGATATATTTTCCTAAATCGTATTCATCACAAACTCAAATTTTCTATTATATATTTCTAATATTTTAAACTTTGATTATTTGATCTAATACAAAGTTTGAAATATCTAAGGTCTATAACATTTGGTTTGCAACATGGCATAGAAAATCAGAGTGTGTGGCAATGACATTAAAATTGTTTTTAATTCTGATTTTAAAAGGATTTGTCTAAATTTATCACATTACTTGTAATTAAAAAGAATTTTGCGCATTATTTACATTACGCCGACAGTCCCTTTATGCAAGAATATCGTTTATTAGAATCCTACGTAATCATTTTTTTCTTTAATTTTTCCAAATACACATTTGTAGAGAAAAAAAAGATTAATTAAGCGAAATTTTGTAAAAAGTTTTTGTCTTTAAAGTTGGAAAAGTGAAACGGTTCAGGAGCGTTGTTGGATCCCCCGGGATAGTATCTTTTTAAAACATAGTTGCACCCTTAAAAAAAAAAAAAAAGGTTTTCATTGGTCAATTATAATAGTTTGTTAATAAACTGTTATCATATGATTTATTATTCTATAAATGCAATCAAGAATGTTGATTTATTAAGTTCAAATATTTTGATGAAATTACGCATTCTCAGAATAGGAGATTTAGCAATTGAGAGAAGAACTTTCCCAAGGTTTCGTTAGCTCTAAGCTAAATGAAATAACATACCCACATTTAATATATTTTTTTGGCTCAGAAAAGATTATTTCAAATCTTGAAATAATGTCATTTTCTCCTGTTTGGCGTATATGTTCCATTTCCCCCTTCTTCAAAATTTAGAAAGTCTATACTATAAATTACGAATTTCAAAAATATCGCTTATTTGACCGTCATCCAACTTTTGCAGTCAAATAAGTGATGTTTTGTTGAATATAAGCGATTTTTTTGTCGCTTATTTAGCGGTCATTCGACTTTTGTCGCCAAACAAAGATTTTTTTAATTTCGTAATTAAGAGTGGGGAATTCATACCAAATCGCTCTAAATGGCTTCAAATCTGTCCTTACAGAAACTGTCGTTTAATATGAAGTGACCTTCCATTGAAAGAGATCCACAACGGTCAACGTTTATCTGTTCACATGACATTCTATGATTGGAGGGCAGGTCATACAAATTTATGTATACGCTATTAGGACCGGTTGTTAATCGAAGCGATCGAAAAAACTATAGTTTTTGTTTCGTTTCTCGTTTTTTTAAAACTATTCGATTGTTTAAAAAAAAATTCGCTAATGAATCTGAGTTTTATGACGGTTAATTTAATTTTTTTCAGGAAGATAAGGTTTATGAATGTTGTCTTAAATGTTTTTTTTATCGTTAGAAGTTACCTAAATGTTTTTCTGACCAAAAAATGTATTTTGTCTTGAGTCGTCGTTAACGACCGTCAAAATTAAAAAAAGACCTACCTTCGCTAATTAACAAAAAGAAGAAATAAAACTAAAAAACGACATCTTTGTTTTTTAAATTAAAAAAAAACAATCTTTTTTCAAAATCGATCGTTTTTAAAAACAACCGTTTCGTTTTTAGTTTTCTTCTTCGTCGTTTTTAAAACAAAACGGTTACAGTCCCTTTAAAGGGTGTGTTTGGAAGAGGGGATTATTGAAGAGAGAGAAATGAAACTAGTTTCATGATTGCAGAATTTGGCAAATTTCTACCAATTGAGTTAATCTTAGATTTAGGAGAGAAAATGTTTCAGAATTAATCGAACATTGTCACGGAGAACCAATTTAATCTATCCTAAAGGAACTATTCAACCAATCTAATCTATCCTAAAGGAACTAATCAACCAATCTAATCTATCCTACAGGAACTATTCAATCAATCTAATCT